GGAACGTCAGGGGCCTTCTCAGAAACCTTGACGACATTCAAGAACTCTTACACGAACACTCACCAAAAGTGCTGTGTGTACAAGAAACACACCTTAATTCAAAACACACAAATTTTCTTCCTAAATACGTTATCTTTCGAAAGGATTGTGATGATGCCATGACATCATCCGGAGGTGTTGCAATCATAGTGAATCAAGGAATCGCATGCACACACTTACAACTCGAAACAACCCTTGAGGCAGTGGCTGTTCGAGCGCTTCTTTTTGATAAACTGATCACAATCTGCACTATTTACATTCCTCCTAGCTATCAGCTGCAAAAACGGGATTTACACTCTTTAATTGATGAACTTCCGGAGCCTTATGTTCTCCTTGGAAACTTTAATGCGCATAGCAGGCTATGGGGCGACTCTCGATTGACGCGCGAGGTCGACTGATTGAACAGTTCCTTCTCTTGTCGAGCGCGTGTCTCCTAAATCGAAAAGAATCAACCTGTTATAATCTCGCCAATAACACCTACTCCTCCATTGACCTAAGCATAGTATCTTCATCTCTTGTGCCTTTACTCCAGTGGAAAGTCGTCAGTAATCTGTACGGAAGTGACCACTTCCCCGTAGTTTTGAGCACAACTACAGTAACTGAGTGTCCACCACGTGTTCCCAAGTGGCTCATAAACAGAGCCGACTGGGAACAGTTTTATACCATCGCTCGTCTAGGTTGGAATGACATATGTACTTTGAACATTGATGTTGCTGTCAACTACTTCACAGCATTTTTGATTGATGCTGCAACAAAATGCATCCCACAAACAAATGGACACCCTGGAAAATGACGTGTGCCATGGTGGAACTCTGAATGCCGAAACGCGCGCAAACAGCAAAACAGACCTTGGAGGCTGCTTCGGAACTCACCGACAGCCGAAAATCTTGACACCTTCAAAAAAATAAAGTCTCAAGGCAGGAGAACGCGTCGGCAGGCCAGAAGAGAAAGCTGGCAGAAGTTTTTGTCAGGGATCAATTCATACGCACAGGAGGCTAAAGTCTGGAACATGGTCGGTAGGATAGCAGGAAAACAAGTACACTCACTTCCACTCGTAAACACTCAGGGTGATACCATGGAAGATCAGGCAAACTTCCTCGGTGCACACTTCGAACAAATGTCCAGCTCATCCCACTATACTGACACTTTCCAGAAATACAGAACAAGAATAGAAAAGCAAAAACTCGAACACAAATGCACTAGATACGAGGCATATAACCAAGCTTTCAGTCTAGCTGAGCTCCAAACGTCTCTAAACTCCTGCAGTACTTCTGCCCCAGGTTCTGACCGTGTGGTGTATGAAATGTTAAAAAACGTACCAATCGAAACACTAAAAACCTTACTTTGTTTGTACAATGCTATTTAGTTTTCTGACACTATCCCTATCTCCTGGAAAGAGGCTATTATTATTCCCATTTTGAAAGAGGGCAAGGACCCTTCTTTAGCTTCGAGTTATAGGCCTATTGCACTTACAAGCTGCTTGTGCAAAGTCTTCGAAAAAATGATAAACTGCCGACTTGTACATTTCCTTGAAACAAACAATTTGCTCGACCCATTTCAGTGCGGGTTTCGAGAGAGTAGATCCACCACAGACCACCTTGTCCGTATGGAGGCACAGATCAGAGACGCCTTTGTCCGTAAACAATATTTTCTCTCTGTGTTCCTCGATATCGAAAAGGCTTATGATACAACATGGCGTTTTGGAATTCTAAGAGACCTGTCCCACCTTGGCATGCGCGGAAGAATGTTTCACGTAATCGAAAGTTACCTGTCAAACCAGACATTCCGTGTCCGAGTGGGCACGGTTCTTTCCCAAACATTTGTCCAGGAAACAGGCGTGCCACAAGGTGGTGTACTTAGCTGCACACTTTTTCTGACCAAAATGAATTCCTTGCGCTTGTCCATCCCTCGCATTATGTTTTATTGTACATATGTCGATGACGTCCAGCTTGGCTTTAGATCTTGCAATCTGGCAATTTGTGAGCGGCAGGTTCAGTTAGGTTTAAACAAGGTCTCCAAATGGGCAGAGGAAAACGGATTCCGACTGAACCCACAAAAAAGCACGTGTGTCTTGTTCTCCTGAAAGAGAGGCATGCACTCAGAACCCGACATTGAACTGAACGTCCAACGTCTGTCTGTTAATGCGGAGCATAAATTCTTAGGATTAATATTGGACAATAAGTTGACCTTCGTACCACACAACAGTGATAGGCAATGCCTCATGAACCTCTATAGAAGCCTCATTCGCACCCGCTTAGATTACAGGGCCGTTGTCTATCATTCTGCTACTCAAAGTGCCTTGAAGATGCTGGACCCCGTGCACCATTTGGGCATCCGCCTTTCTACGGGTGCTTTTCGCACCAGCCCCGTAGAAAGCCTTTATGTTGAGTCAAATGTGTGGTCGCTTCATCTGCAGAGAACTTACATGTCGTTTGTTTATTTCCTTAAGGTGAAAGCAGACAAGAAGCACCCCTCATACTCTACTATTAATAATTTGTCGAGCTCAATTCTGTTTCAAAACAGGCCTTCAATGAGGCAGCCCTTTTCAGTTTGCCTGAAGAGTCTAGCTGAGGAAACTGGAGTCTCACTTGAACACAGTTTAATGGCTCCTGTAGCATACCCGCCACCGTGGCAATGGCAGACTATAGACTGCGATGTGTCTTTTCTAGAAGTTACAGAACATGCGCCTATTGCCCATATCCAAACATACTTCCTGGAACTTCAACACAAATACACACGTCCTGAGTTCTTTACAGATGCCTCCAAGTCTAACTCCTCTGTGTCCAACGCTGCTGTCGGCCCATCCTTTTCGGATGCTGGCCCTCTACAACCAGGCACAAGTATCTTCACAGCGGAAGCTTATGCGATACTTGTGGCGGCTAAACACATCAAGCAATTACAAATACAAAAAGCAGTAATTTATACGGACTCCCTCAGTGTGGTAACGGCTCTGCACACTCCTAAAAAACAAAAAAACCCAGTCCTTGTCTCACTTTACTCCATTTTGTGCACACTCTACACGCTCAAACAACATGTTGTAGTGTGCTGGGTGCCAGGGCACCGTGAGATTCAAGGCAACGTGAGGGCGAATCAGCTCGCTACATCCGTCCACAAAGGCACTGCCCCTACACCCATATCGATCCCGGCCCTTGATCTTAAGCAGTCTCTCAAACGAAACCTCAGGGACTACTGGCAGAGCAAGTGGGATACACACACACAAAACAAACTACACATTGTTAAGCCACACCTTGGTCATTGGCTGCCCGTATCGAAATCGCGTCATACAGAGGTAATACTAACGAGACTCAGGATAGGACACACATACACGACACACACACACATCTTTTGTCCGGTGGCGATCCACCATTGTGTGACAGATGTGGTGAAGCATTAACAGTCCTTCACATTTAAATTAGTGCAAACAATTGGACACTCTAAGAAAACAACACTTTCCATTACCCTACCGACAACATATACCTTTACACCCTGCAATGTTCGTCGGTAGGGAACCGCTTTTTAGTCACAAATTATTGTTAGCGTTTTTAAAAGAAATTCATAGTTTTCATATTATATACTCGGGCGTTCCGTAGCACAACCTCCCCAGAGAGGTTTTTGCTGCGGTGGCTACACAGGAAAGCACTTGCCTCACGGCCCTTGGACGCAAGGGTATGCTTCCTGCGCCTTACGTTCATTTTCACCCATGGCAGAAAGAGAATGTTCTATGGTCTTCATCGTCATCGGGTAGCTTGCATGTGCTTATGCACTTAGCTGTCACTCATTTGCATGAATGAGTGGGTTATGTCACGGGTTATTTGTGCTAACACCGATTGATCCTACTGCTTCGCCCACTCATCATCATTTACTCCGTCGAGAGGACGTAGTTTTTGGGGGAATGAAAGTTTCTTGGCATACTCTTAAAGAGTAACCATATGGGCGTTTTGCTTTCACTGGGATCCACGTGGAGACTGTGCGTACCCTCTAGTAACCCCGTTGTCTCCACATCATCGTACAGTGACTTCTGATAGTGTTCAAAGCAGTAACCATTTGAAAGGGGTTCTTGAGATCGGTGATTTCAGGTGCTCGTATGATCTCGTCATTGGTGTCAAACTGTGTGAGGCGACTCCAATCAACTTTTATCTCTAGGTATTTGTCAGTGTTCTTGGTACATCAACCACGCATGAACCATCATCGGGTACCTTGCATGTGCTAACCCATTTCTTCGTAAATGACATGGCGTATAGTGGGTACCTTGCATGTGCTGACACTCCTATTTTTCATCATCAGTTTCATTGTCGTCGCCAGGCAGCACACAATGTACAAGCCTAGACCCTAAGGTGCGTTGCCCCTGAGAGTGTTCCACACTTGCCATTATAGTTACTAGTGGCGCTGACTAACACTCCCAAATTGATATGCACATATATACACTATAAAGTGGACAGAAGGATGACTGCTGCTTTAGCTCAGCTGGTAAAGCATTGGATGCATTATGTAAAGGCGTCTGCGTGCCAAGTTCCCTGCCAGTGGCAGGGAACCTGCCACTTGGTCTGTGCCAGTGGCTAGTCATCTTTTTGTCCACTTTTATTTCTTGACATTTACAATACAATTACTGATAATGACGACTTATATACTTTTGTTGATGTTATTGTGTGTTTGCATTAATAATGGGTGCTTTCCTAGCATTCAGTGGCTCCTTCCTTGTTCTATTTCTTGGAAATGCACATGGTGCAAGAACAGGATGTAGCAGCTGCAGTTATCGTAGTCTGTGTGGCACTTCAGAAGAGACACGAAAAATTCTGTGCTCACTGGTTGGCACTGCTGTTGATTGCGAACATTTCAGATGGGAGACTCTGTGATACTGTCACGCTCATAGCTACGCATCTTGGAATGGAATTGTGGCACAGCAAAGAAGACAATAATGGATAAACCGTCTGCAATTGTTTGATTTGTTTATCTTTGTGCAGACCAGCACCGCGGCCAGTGCAGCGGCTTCCCAGACGGGCACCATCACCCAGGAGCACATCCGTTTCTCTCTGCTCACGGCTGTTGAGGAGAAGGTCAAGGCTCGGCTCAAGGAGGCCCTCTCGGGAGCCCAGGTCGGCATCACATCTGTTTTGCTTCTAATGTGCACCTTGCCTGCACAGGGGTCTCTAGTCCGTGGAGCTTGACCTTTAAATGCTTTAGAACTTTCAGTTGCTGAAAGACACATGATTACTTATGAAGCAGTGCATGACGACAAGCACAAAAGGAACGATAGACTCCGTGCACTGAGACTGGCACGCCGTCGCACGGTTGTCAGAGAAGACAAACGTCGAAAGCCCAAGAAAAACAAAACACTCCCCCAACGTTCGCTAGCGCGTAGTTTATCTGAATCATGAACTGCTGCGTAGTCAATTATACCAACAGGTACTCGTCGTGTCCTGCGGGAAGGAAGTTGCGAAGTTTCTTGACTTGTCCCTGCTTTATTGGGTAGCGAAATAAGTGGATCACAGCTGTGTAACGTAAAAAAGTGCTTGGTTTCTGTTCCCTCTGCCATCTCGCGTTCTGCCGATGCGTGCTTGAATTGCTCTGAGACACTCCCTTTGCAGGTGCGATAATCTTGCATGATATTCTTGCTGTCATGGAGCTGGTGAGAAAAAAAATCCTTGCAAGAAATCTTACTTTAGATCAAGGCTGATGTGACATTTTAGTGGACCATAATAATTACTATGACACCGTATAGACGTCGCAGTTTTGAGGAATGCAATGCGAGGTCAATTAGTGCTTTCCTGAGTTCATGGGTCCATCAGTGAAGGGGCAAACTGAGTTACATAGCATTTTACCGTAAACACAAGTAGTCACCCACCAGGGTATGCGCACTCGGTATGATCACGCTAGGACGTCAATGATTGGTTGGTCCTTACTAAACTGGCGCAAGGCACCATGGGGAATTGACCATGAAATGGGCGGCGCCTTGTTATATATATGATTTTGTTCATAAATATAAAAATCTTTAGCAATAGATCATTTTCTAAATAGCTAATTAGCTTTATTCACAAAAAAGCGTATTGTCATGAAGAATGAGTTTCACTTACATAACCTTACAATTCAATTCGTTTTGTCTACGTAGCAAATCACATATGGCATCGCAAACCCTCCTGTGTCTAAAACCAAGTGCCATAGCTCCAAAGGAAATAACCACCAGAAGGGATTAATTGAATCCCATCTTTTAGATTTGGTTCATTCAAAAACCTTTTTCTTTCATTATTAAACAGGTGAAGCGAAAGACGGAGCGGGTCATGCGCTGTCCTCTCTGGAGTAAATCTTCTCGCATTCTCTTTCTCGCCCGCGCCTCAAGCTTAGCATGAGCTGCGGGAGCGGCGAGGTAAAACTATGAACATGATGAGCGATGATTGTGCCGCGACAATTTCAAGCAAAGCACTTCGCGAGACTCGGTGGCTGAAAATCGCTGTGGCACGACGCCGCAACAAACGAGCTTGCCAATTTTCACCAGTGGCCGTGGAGCCTTTTATGTTTCTAAATATGCTCAGAGTAATTTGCAAGTATATGCGGGTAGTGGGCAAGCACCAATAATAAGCTCAGTTCGAAAGAATGACAGCTTGCCGCGATAGTTATGCAGCAAGCCATATGCATTACGCACACACGCTTAGTCGTCATTCCTGGTGACGGGAGCAAGGCGCTCACTAAAACGGAAAATGTGGCCGCTTTCGTGCAGGTTTTTCCATTTATTCATGGTGGCTTCGCGGAAGATTGTCCCCCTGCGATATCTTTAAATTCTGCTCGAAGCACGCACTAACACACCGGCTACAGGCCCTTGTGCCACCATAGCTCTCAAAGCAATTAGGCGCTGCTGTCTGCTACGACTCTCAACGTTGCATGCCCGCAATACTACAAGTGGCACTGCGCGCGTATTTCAAGGCACCCCCTATAGGTCCTGCACGGAGTGTATAGGCACACCACTGCTTCATAAGTAATCATGAACTATCACCAACTCGCCCACCTTTCAACATTACTGAAAGACACACCCACCACTGTCTAGTGGTTACGGGGCTCGACTGCTGATACGACGGTCGAGGGATCGAATCTCAGCCACAGCAGGCACAGTTTCTGATAGATGCTAAAATGCCTGAGACTCTATCGCTTATATTTAAGTGCCTGTTCGTGTTAAGTACACGTGTGTTCGAGAATACGAGGGGGGTCTAATTTTTAAGAGCCCTCCACTCAAGCACCTCCCATAATAACGCCAGCCCTGCGCGGTAGGCGCAACACAGGCACAGCGAAAGCTAGAAGAGCGGCCTTTCAGAGCATTTTCAAAGCACTCATTGGGTAACTACAGCAAGCACACTTGCTTGGTACCCAGTGGGGCATTAATAATAAACTTTTGGGTAGGAGGTCAGCATTCGCTATGCTATTTTTTGTCATTCTTCTGAGAAGCATGGTATCCGCTAAACACTTGCTAGGAATTTTGTGCCAATTGTTAATGCAGTTGCTGACGACGATGAGTAATTATGGTTGAAGTGGGCATGCATCACAGTTAATAGGGAAACAAGAACAAGCTTTTGTAATAGGCTGGAGCATTGGATGGCCCACTCGTTACGCTAATCGCATTGTGTGACGACTGGTTGTTCTTTCACTGTTGTAAAACGCTTTATCGTATTAACGCGACTGCTTTCCCGGCATCAAGCCTGCTTAAGGCAAGTTAAACAACAAGTCACAAGCACCGGAGTAGCTCAGTGGTAGAATGCTGGGCTGGCACCCAGTGGACTCGAGTTCGAGCCCCACTGTGTCATTGGTGCTAGGTCATGCCTGCCTTAGGCAAGTTTGACAACAAGTTTCAAGAACCGGCGTAACTCAGTGGTAAAGTATTGGGCTGGCATACAGCAAACCCGAGTTCAAGCACCGCTGTGTCATTGGTGCAAGGTTTTTTTTTATATATTCTTGCGATGTGGCTACAGACACCGGCAGCAGCAGCGGACAGCATGCACTTGTGCGTGACCTGAGTTGTGATCTCATTACAGCTTTCGCTGTAAAAGTGGCTTAGGGACGTTAAACCCGATCAATTATTATCCCTGAGGGATGTAAATTATGGAGAGCCATATCTCATTCTCAAGTTTAGTGCCCTAGTGAATGGGTAGAGACGTTTCAAAGATGACTCTCGTATTAATCTGACATTGAATAAACTTGATGCAGTCGGGAATTTCCTAAAAAGCACGTCCACACAGGAATGCACCCCACACACTGTACTCCTGTTCCTGTGTGGATCTGTGTGTGTGAATGGTGGTGTGTTGTTTAGGGAATTCCTGGTTGCACTGAGTTTATTCAATATGAGCAACCTGTCGAACTCTTTCTTTTATGGTAAATAAGCTGTGAAAAACGACACTTAAGCATCTTATCAAAGAATTTCCAACCATGATCACTAGAGACCGCATGTTTTGGCACTAAAAAACCGGATTTTAGGCACCAAAAGTAGATGGACAAAAGACTATTTTAGGTGCCAAAAACCATAAATATAGGCACAATGAACTGTAATAAAATTCAAGTTTTTGAAGAAGTACGTGTGGGATCTTTGTCTACGACAGGAAAGCAAACAGGAATGTTTTAGTTTATAATAGTACAAAAGGACGATAGTCTAGCATAGCCATGCAATTTTTTTTTGTTCCGCAGGGTTTGCAGAATACGGTCTCTCCTTTTCGAATCCGGCATAGTGAGTCAAGTGTCCACCGTCGAATAAACATGCTCCCGGGTTTCTTTTTTTGGGGGGCATGGCTGAAGAAGGCAATAAATACAAGAGCAAATAGCCAGAGCCCTAATAAGCCAGAAGGGTCTTCTTGCCTAGTATTAACTTTGCCTAACCATGCGTGGTCAATTTCTCTTCTGTCTGTGAATACCTTAAAGGGCCCTTCACCTGTACAGTGGAACTCCACTACTACGAACGCCGCTTCAATGAAATTTCTACAACGAAGAATTCACGATTCCCTGTCAGCAGTACGTAGCAGTCAATGCATAAATATTGTCACCACAACGAACACTTTTTCTTCAATTGTCCCGCTTTAACGAAATTTCAGGATGGAAGTCCAGGCTCAGATACTTGCTATGCAGTAAACCCAATGTTTAACATTTCGATGCATTTTCAGAGCCTGAAAATAGGTCAACAAAGTCAACACGCGTTGGCTCCACCAGAAACCGCCACTATACCACTGCTGTTCAGCAAGCGTGCGCGCCGCCATTGCTCAATAACGATGGCAATGAGACTGCCCTGGCCCTGCTTTTTCCACTGGCTTGCTATTGAGCCGCAGACGATCGAAAGCTGAAGCTCAGTCGCTCAGTTAATGGTTTCCTTCACACAGCTGCTGGGTGCAACCGCGGAATGATGCTTTTTCCGATACCGATGCTTATCATTATGTTCGCGCTTGGCCAGTGTGGTAATTAATCAGAGCAGCTGTTCGTCTGCATTATCAACAAAATCAGCTAGCCACGTGTAATGGGTGTTAAGAATTGCATAGAATATTGCAAAAGTCGCCGCTCCACGATACCTTTACTCCATCTCAGCATTGTCAAATACTTTTGAAGGCAGACAGGGGCTGGTTTTAACGTGTTAATGCAACTGTTTAGTTCGTTCACGAAGGCGGTTTGAGCGGTTCTTTCAGCATGCTTTTCACCATAGCCTAACTATGAATACGAAGCAGCGGACATTTTTTTTAATTTTGAGAATAAACGTTCCTTTGTTTTGCTAGCTCAGATCAGCTATATTTTTTCAATTTGACTACAACAAAACTTTTTCCGTGCCCCGTCAATTTCGTTGTAGCAGGGTTCAACTGTATTGAGAGTTTTAAGCAGGCAAGAGGAATGCATGCACTGGGTGGTCACCATCTCATTTGCCGAAATTTGCGATGTTACGTGCCCTGAATAAAAGTGAAATGTCAGACTGAAAGTCACTTGCCCTTCATCTCCTGGGCACGCCCCCTGACATGGTGGAGGTGGCATATACAACAAAGAATGGTCCTGCATATATCAAAGTAGTACATGACAAAGAGAATCCTTTGAGATGACATTTGTAATTTGTGCAATCTATTGCCCGATTCAAAGTATGAAGTTT